ATTATTCCAGTGTTTCACAACACATCCCATTTCGACCTACCTCAAACCGTTGCTTAGGGACCGCAGAGCCGGATTGAAATCGCCTCAACGCACGCACATAGATCAATGCAATTGTGCGTAGATGCGTATTGTCATCATGACCTAGAATACGCACCATTCTATCGTTCCAGGCCTCCAGTCCGTGACCCAAACTGTCCGTGTCCCAAACACTCGTGTTTGGTGAACTGGTCACTCGTTCGCGTTCAACTTGTAGGAGTTGTCGAACGAGACGCACTGCGGCTGCACAACGCGTGCTTGCGGGAACGCCAACAGCAGATACCTCAGTGAGAGATAGCTCAAACAAATAACAACAGATAAGCTCAACCTAGAAGAGAGAAAGAAAATCCAAGAGGTAGTCACATTTTTCGTTGGTTAAGTGTACGGGTCCTACTACACTGTGCAAACCTAGACTGAGGTCAAAAATGATTGAAACCTTTTTTTGTTACTCATGAGTAGCCAAATTGAAAATAGTGATTTTCGCCAGAATCGTTTCCGATCTACATCAACCCGGAAGCACATCCTAAAACCAGACGAACCGCATCACGTTTTTATTTAACTTAATAAATCATTCGACGCCTAGATATAGTCTAATTGTGAGCGAATTAACTGAAAGCATTATGCAATAACTTTATATATACATGCAACGTTTAATAAGAAATGTTTGGAACGTGAAAGTAAAAAAATATGCATCCAGAATGAAGACTTGAACAGATGGAATGGATATTAGGAGAATTACTGTATCTGTTTCTGGCACCATTCAGTTCAAACGGTAGAAGAATTCATCCATGAATCTAACGCGTATCACGTGAATGAGAATGTGATTGTGTGCATTTGCACGAATAGCTTGGCTTCTGTACTAGCTTGCTGAGGAAAAGAGTTATATCTTGGATACAGTATGGCAGATGCAGACCAGGGTTATCAGATTGGTCCAGGCAGCCCATCGAATACGTTAGTGTGATTCCGTGTTTAATTCATGCTCTTGAATTGCAGAGTATCGTAATTAATGCTTTCCTTATTTCCCCAGGTGTCTGACAGATGACCAGCAGTTATAATCCACTTCACTGTGACAGATCTTGGCACAGGCACCAGTGTGAAGTTGAAATGTCAACCTTAATAAAGTTGGCCCCTTCACAGGAAAATAGAATTACTGCTGTCCTACGGTTTTTATCGCTAAAGTGTAGACATCTTAATTATGCCAGATATCGTATTCCGCTGGTTGGCGGCTGATCGGTTCACGGAATGTTAGAAAATTGAGCCACATTGAATGAGCTACTGAGAATGATGCTGGAGCATTCATTCATGAAACCACTGCACAAACATACACTGTGAGCATTGCTCAAAGTTGCGCGCCATAAACCTCGATTCTTTGTATCTTGTGACTAATGTTCATTTCCTCCTCACACACATGCAAATAGGTTTTGATCAATCGATCGATCGGACAATACAGTTATTGGTTAATGCGGACAAGTATAACCACATTGCGTAATCTGGCTCGATATCATGGATTAGCCAAGTACCACAGAAACCGCGCTTTGGAACTGTGCAGCACCTCTGGACATATTTATTGAAATGCAGCCATAACAGTTCACATTATTTTGCTATTCAAAAGTGCAAACATTCACAGAACACAAATTAGCAAACATGCTCATTTTCGGTGCCACATCAACTGGCTAAATACAGCACAATTTAGCATAGAATAAACAGATGGCGAGAGTTTGCATCCCGGGGGTATAATCTATTCCAAACTTAGGATTCTTTGTGCACGTACCACCACATGCCGACCACAGCATCACCCCTTATTTTGCTCGTGTTTTACTCAGCCGAGCAAATATCACGACTGACTTGGAAAATCACCTGTCCCATTAGGGTTTGATCACATCCATTTGTTTTTCATTTATTAAATGTATGAATTTGTTAAATGCTTAACGTGATTGAGTATGGCTAAGTATGTGAATGAGTGATGGTTCATGAACGGAGGTTCTATCATTTGGCGCGTGAAAACCGCATTATGTTTACATATAAAACGTGTCCTGTAAACGCATATCAAAGATAGTCCAGTTAAGCTTTATGTACCCAATAGAGTGGATTCTCAACACTATCGACAAGTCACAGTGAGGAATACGTTGTATTCAAAAAAATGAAACATTTACTGAATGAAAATCAAATGGTTGTGACAAGTGATATTCCAAGTCTGTAATGATAGTTGTTCTATTTACTAAGATACGTGCCAAATGAGGGATGATGCTGTTTTGGTGGGTGGGCAATTTGCAATAGATTACCTCCCGGATGCGATATTGTTTATTGTTTATCAATTCACCTGCTCCGGCGGAGAAAGTTATTTGGGTCGAACGGTGAAACGTCTATCGGATGGCATCAAGGAGTATCAATCCAACTGGTTGAACCAGGGATTGACAAGGACCGTTTGAGTGAGACTAACCACACAGTCAATCTGACTGAAGTTGTCGATTATCTTCGTGCAGTCAAGAGTAGGTTATTCAAAGAAGTAAAGTAAATCTTCTAATCTCTTCAACACACGTCGTCCCACCCGCTTGTGCTTCCAGAAACCGCTTGTAAGAACACTGGTCTCACCACAATCATCTACTAACACTATGCTGACGCCACCTCCGTTCGTGAACTCTCTCACCCTAGTCACCTAGTCACCCATTCACAACCACCCCCTGTCATCCACTTTCCACGCATGCACACATAAACATACACACTCACAAGCGTCAGTTATCACCATCATCTCTTTTCAAACTCTGATTTCCTTCGCGGAATGTGTCGCCTCTCAACAGCTGGTTACTCTTTGGTAAATTTGGCTATATTTAGCCGGTTGATATAGCACAGAAAACGAACATGTTTACTAGGTTATATTTTCACGGCTACTCCACCGGGACTAATTTCATAGAACAGTTATTTTCAAAATCGAAATGAGTTGGTTCCGTAATAGTTATAAATTCATTGGTTGGTTCTCATCCTAATCCATCAATTCGACGGCCAGAAATGACGAGCTTAGCGTGACCAGAAAAGATATCTTTGCCATGATATTCGATTTACTGTAATAGTACTATCAGGCATGCTCGAATCGGGTCAACCAATTTCTATATATAGTCTTTCATGAATTTACAAGGAAACCAATGAAATAAAAATTCGTGTTGAGTTGCTGTCTTCGGCTTTGGACCCTGTGGTCCGAGGTTCAAGCCCCGCCACCGCCACCGCCACCGCCAACCAACTTGTGGAGTTGGTTGGCTTTGTTTTGGTTCGGTTCAATACCACACACCTAACCTAACGGGGTGGGGCCTTATGTGATTTACCACTCCAAGTCGCGGGGCTTAAGTTGCCGATTTCCACCACTAAACAGCAGGTTTTCGTGAGTATGGGGTTTCACCTGTCTGCTACTGATCACACTAGGCTGTGCAATAGAACACACTACTCTAATGAGCAGTATATGAAAGACTGGATAAGATTTCCCGGACGCACGACCAGTTTCACAGTCTCCTACAGTTATTCAGATTTGCCGATGCGGTAATCCTCTCTCTGCCCATTGTCATGCTTCAACTTCAGACGAGAAAATCTCATTTGCAGCTCGGAGCGTGGAGTATAAGAATGCCTAAATAGAGAATCACCGGATACGCATACTTGACGAGTAACAGGAAAAGCGGAACTTGTCGAGCTTCTGCAAGACATTGTTCCGTCATTCACATACCGCTCATTGTGAGATTGCTAAAAATAGACCATGGTGTCGACTTGGACGAGGTTGGACGCATTTGCTCCACAACAACAACAACAACAACAACAACAAGAATAATTACTGACACATCGCAATGCTTCTTCGGGGCTGGTTTTCCAGCTCACTTCGGTTTCGAGGGTAAGTGTTACGTGGATTTTTTCACTTGTGAAAGTGGAAGCTGATGATCTCGTACAGTGTGGTTTTGCTTGAACGCTGACTCCGGTGTCCGGTGTCTGTCGATTGATTAAAGACTATTTGCTTGTGTGTGAGGTCACACTAGTCACAGGACATGATGAATCGGGTAAACGAGAGCGTTTGTTTGAATAGTGGCTCTGAAAGAGCACGTGTCTCATGCAATCTGATCACCCACTGCATACAGTGTTTAGGAGTGGTTTCTCATTGTAGTATGAGGAGTTCTTTCATCGGGAACTGTTCATGGACACGCATCACATATCAAATTAGAACAGAACACTGTGCCCTGGGATGTACCGAAAACGCATCTGGCATGTGAAGGTTAAAATTCGCAATCCTGCTGCTAGGGTAATGCTATTCGACGGGGACAAAGTTACCTTGGCTCGTTCACTATAAGTCAGATCATCACAGGCAAGCATGGCTCTCGTCAGGAAGTGATGCGGGAGCGGTATAGCCACATCAAAGTCCAGCGTTTGTAACAGGTGCAGTTCGAATTCCAATACCTGAAGTGACAAAATGCAGTGTTCGTGAGTTGGGGCATTGGTGGTGGCGGTAGGAGTGGGTGGTTGGGAGGATAGATGGAGAGAAAAATGATGACTGAGCCGTAGTTCAATTTATCCTCGTTGTTTGCACTTCACCTGTCCAATGAACTGTATTATTGCTTCGGCACTGTCAACTATCGTGTTGTTGTTATTGGTGATGGCGTTGGTGGTGGTGAAGGTGTTGGTAGTGATCATTGCATTTGCATTTTGAATGCGCTCTGATAGCTCACTCTCTAACCAAAGAAGAATAGTAATAAACGGTAACGAAACATGGTATCTTAAAGGCAAATCTGAACGGAGTAGAAAGGAAATCTATACATTATTCAACTCAGATTGTAGCATAGCTATTCGATGAGCAGTAGGAATGCACTCTGAGATGAATAAATTCATCACCTTGTTGCATATTCCGTTTGCTGTGTACTATCCGGAAATTGTTTCAACCGTAGAACGTTCCGTAAACAAAACCCCTGAGATTAGGGGAGACCGTATTTGCTTCCCGCTACCATGTAATTGAAGCAAATGTAATACGACTAACTAATGTCANCCCCCCCCCCCACCCGTGGTGAGCTCTCTGGGACGGGGTGGGGGTGGGTGTGGAGTGTTAAAACCCACCTGCTTCGGTTTGTACGAGTTCTCTGTCAGATAGCACAATGTGGTCGTTGTCGGAGCGAACCGTTCCACAAATTTGGCGGCAACAAACAGAGCAGTGATTCCGACCAGCTGATAGTCAGACGGATTCATCCGATCTTGTAACCATGTGTACCGGTCAACCAGACTAACGGCCAAATGAAGTGTTTCGGTGCGCAGCTTCAAGTACTGTTGGACCTGAGGGAAATAGAACAGATGAGAAATTGTCAACTAGTGTGAAAAATATCCAGGGATGTAAAGGTCTTTATTTCATGGTCCGTATTTATGTAGCTAGGTAGATAGGTACGAAACTGGAAGCGAGAAGAGACAACGCAAAGTTCGCGCACGACCAGGGGTCACGATGAAAACCGAACAACATCGCGAATTCACATGGGTACACTTCACCACAGACATGATTTGACTATTTTCTTGTCCAGAATCATTATTTCAGAGAAGAGCCTTATGGACGATATAGTAAGAGGTGCTTAAAGAACGAAACAGTTCGTCAGTTTAATTTATCGTCCGTTAGGCTGGGCTTCGATGACGAATACCACGCGCTCACCACGTGGGGAACTAATGAAGCCAACTGATAGTTGAACAAGAAATTGAATGTTTTTTTAACAGCAACGAATTTTGAAATATGCAAATGGCGCCAGGCTGTGCCAATCCACTTCTTTTTACTCCGATTTACACTCTCACCGATAATCTCGATCCAATTCAGTCATTCTCCTCCTTATCGGGGCTAACCCTGAACCCCGGTAAATGTGTTGAGTGTTTATATAGTCTCGCTCGCTCCCCATATCCGACAGACCCCAAAGTGATTAATAACATTCCTTCATCTGAAATATCTTGGTGTAATCATAGACAGCAATCTTCATTGATCAATCCACATCCATAACTGCATTGGGAAAATGCGGCGCTTATCATTTCAAATGCGAAAACTCAGGCAATTTCGTGCATCCCAGTCAGTTATTTCTACCTTTGTTTATTATTGTGTTTACCCTATCTTACTCTACTGTTCCCCAGTTATTTTTCCTGGTTTGCTCAAACAGGATTTCAAAGTCTTACACCGCAGTCTAATCATTATTAGTCGTGTCTCTTCTATTCCTGTGAATGAGTTAGATTCAAAGCTTTCAGAGTATCACGTAACTTTTGTATGAAATTTGCTGGGAAGATTCTCACGGATCCTGACCACCCGCTGCACGCAGGACTAACACGTCGTTCCCATCATTCAACACGCTCCCGATTCCGCTAGATTTCGTCTCGAATTGACACTTAGCGCAATTTACACATACCGTATCTTACTCGCTTGCTTATAAACAAAAAGCGGACGATAAGTGAACTTTGGATAATGCAATCTCCTCAGTCGTGTAAAATTTTCGTCATAGTTTATTATGTACATTGTGAAGTTTAGCGTGTACGACCTTTTAAAAAATGAAACGTGAGCTATAGTGCTTGCGAAATTTCTACACAATACACAATATACAGAACGATATAACCCTCACCAACAAAAAAGGGATTGGACAGAAAAGTTAGCTCTCTTCTGTCATTTTTAGGTTGGTTAGTTTGAAGTCCATGCGAGACGACTCTAGTTTTTATTGCTAAGTTAGCTCCTACATGAAGAAGTACTGTTTGTATCAGTGTCTGTCCAGCTAGATTGTGCGTTTTCGTTGTTGTCATTGCTTTCGCTAATTATGATCTAAAGACAGAAAAGCCTAAAGAGCCCATTTTCCGAGATTGACGATTATGTTTGGTGCTATTCCGATAATGATGATGACGATGATGATTCGGATGATTCGGATGATGATGATGATGATGATGATGATGACGATGATGATTCTGATGATTCGGATGATGATGATGATGATGATGATGATAATGATGATTCGGATTGTGATGATGATGATATTGATGTTTGATTAATCGTTTTACGTGTATGAAAACATAGCCTCCGGTAAATCCCGGTAACGTGTCTCTCCGGAGAGTATTCTCATCCGTCCTGTAGCAGCGCTGAGGCGAAATACCTCATCAAATGAGGATTTACCTCGAGATGTGTGAAATCCATTGTAATATCTATTTGAAAAACGCTTTTGCACTGGAATGGCGCAACAACAAAAATCAATGCTCTGAATAGCAATTTGGCACGATGGAATCAGAAGCCGATTACTGTCGTCCACTTTCACTCTATCATCCATCTCCGTTTGCCAAACCCAAACGATCATGCACTAAGACCTTGTTTTCGCTCCCGAAATAATGCAACACCTGTTTGACTAACCTTGATCATCCAGTCACACAGTGTGGCACGGATATCCGCGGACAGGCCGTTTCGCCTAAGGAATTCCGCTTTGTAATAAGATGTCGCCTCCAAATCCCGGGTATAGAGATATCGAAATATCTGTGAGAATAGAAAGAAAAATCGCAGATACTTAGATGCTCAAACAATCAGAGAATCTCTTTCCATCAGCATGAAAACAAAAGCCCGTTCCGGTCAACATTTAACCATCTTCACTGACCCGTTCGTGATGCATGTGGAATTCGTCAAACTGGGCCATATCGATCGGGGTTTGAGGAAGCCAAAGCACATAGGAACGTTGAAATGGTCCACAATCTGGGCTGAACAGTGACGGACTATCACTGACCCCGGTAGCATTTGAATCCATCCGGGTCAGGCGATGCACGGAAGTTTGTGACTGGAGTGTTGCCGCAACCGGATGATGAAACATCATCGCGATCAGCCGCGTGTTCTCGATCACATGCACACTTTGCGCGGTTCCGGCACCGGAATCACCCAGCTCATGGCGATTCCGTACACTAGCCTCATTCTCCGGAACCCAGTCGGACAGGGTGAGCCTGTCAAGTTGGATCAGCTGATCGGAATGTTTCAGTAGTTCTGCGGTTTTGTTCTCTGTGTTGGAGATATGAAAAGAACGGCAGTGAAGTTTCAGTGATATAATAAATCGTAGCTTATTGTTTCCATGTTATTTTGTATCAATGTGACGTGATGCGAAAAGGACTCAAGTGGGATTTCAAAGGGGAAGTTCGTCTTATACAGAGCAAATCCAATCCGAACTGAGAAGCTAACAAGCACTGCTGGACAGCTGTTTCGAACTGGTTAGATCTCATCAGCAGTGCGCGAATCCATCGATTCAGCTGGGGATCGAACCCGGGACCTCACGAGCGGCTTTTCAGTTCACGCTAAATTTGCCATATACCGGAAGAATTTTCTCTTTGAAATCGAACCAAATCTTTTATTACTCACGTGAATCGGATTTTGTTTAGCATGCGGTTATTGTAAACAGACAAAGTGAACGAGAAATATGTTCACTTACATGAAGCAGTTAATCATCTTCAATGAACTGAAATACAAGTGTTTTTGTTTCACTTCGATAGATCAGCTTGGACAACCAATTGTGCAGAATTATGAACCCAGGGGGGGGGGGGGGGGGGGG